CTGCAGCCAGGACTGAAGCTTCCCTCAGATGCTATTATTCCTGTACGGGGGGATGGGCTGGGGCAAGGAGAGGAGGCAGAAAAGTAGTCCAGGCGGGAGCTTTCAGAAGGGAATCTCAATCTTATCTTAACTCCAATAAGTTTGCTATTTTAAGGTGGTTCTGAGATGCCTTGAGCGAATCAAAGCTTAGCTGCTGTCATCAGTATCTGTTGCAGTTAGAAACTCTTTCCATGTGCCTTTGGCTCTGTTTCTACTCATATGCAATATTTATGCTCTCAGATATTGATATGAATCAGAAGCTGAAGTCTTTCCAGTGGTGTTTAGTGGCCTGGTTGGAAAAATGCCATTTCTATTTATAATAAGACGAAGATAAAAATATTAAAATGCATGTGTTCAAATATAGCTGGTTTTGACTCTAGTCCGGATTTTTTTTCCCCCTCTCTCTCTCTGTTCATCAGACAGAGAACTTAACAAAATCCTAAATAATCCTCCTGGGCTATTTTAGATTGCTTTTCCCACAGAACACAAAACAACGATGCTGCTTCCTTTAAAACTCCTAAACGTGGTAGAAAGATTTGGCCAGCGAATGAAAAAAAAAAAAAAAAAAAAAAGAAAAGCCTTTCAGTGCAAGGTTTTCCTTTTGCGTCGGTGGCAGGAAAGCCAATGGTTAAATCTCCCTGTACCACGGAGAGCTGCCTGAAGCCGGAGAGAGAATAGAGTTTATGCAGGACTGTGTGTGGAGCTGCTCGCTGCTTGTGTAAAAATAGACGGCAATACATCAATTCCACAGTCTCTGCCGGCTACAATTCATACAGGGGGGAAAAAAACGCAAGTGGTTTCCTCGTAATCTCTGGAGTCTAGTGGGAGACGGAGGACCTCGGCGTGTTTGCATTCAGCACAATGGAATGTTCTCCGAAGGAAAGTTTGGGCAACTTGGGAAACAAGAGAAACTTTCTGTGGACTCTGGTGAGATGGACCCGAATTGAATTGCATGGAGGATTCCGAGCTATTAACAATGAATCTGGCAAAAGACTGCGAGTGCTTCCTCTGGGTAGCTGGGGGCACGCAGGGTAAGGGGGAGGACCGAGTGCCACACGTGATTTGATTAAATAAGATGTCCATGTGGTGCAGCGATACACATCTAAAGTGAAAATAATTTGGCCAAGGCTGCCCGCGAATGCATTTTTCCTATCTAGCGAGGCATGCCCTGGGTTCTTAACTCTTTGCTGGGTTTGCAAATGTTGGCTCCCTTGGCCCTCCCTCTCCTTGGCAGATCGCATTTGTGGATTATAATTGTTCTTATCTTGTTGTGATTTCTTAGTAAGGTGGAATAGATATGGATAATTCATATGTCCTGTAGCTATTAAGAGTGAGTGTTCTAAGTGGCTTCAAAGTCCTAATTGTCTCTGAGTAGCCGGAGTGTCCCGTGGATGGTTGTCTGGCTGGCACTGTGTGTTTCAGCTGCTGTAGTTTCATTTTTCCATCATGTATTATTCCTGATGCTGCTAGGAGTTGATTGAGGAACTAGATCAGATGGAAATAAGGAAAGATTTACTTTCATCATTGGAATTCCTGCAGTCATTTTCACATAAGCTTCAGAAGCATTTAGAACAGTGGCCTTTTAAATTTTTTCTTAAGGAGGAGAGAGGTCTTGGGCTAATTGTCCAGCCGTGGATTGAGTCGCCGATCGGTTGGCTGAGATTGGCCAGTGTCTTCTCTGTGGCACCGTAGGCAGCTAGCTGGTAGAGGCCGTGCCTTCGTGGTGGCAGCTCTGGGAATCACCTCTAGCCAGTCTAAAATATTACGAGCAGCAGGTAGCGTAGGCAGTTTTCATTTTTTGAATCATTAATGTTTGCTGTCATCCTGAAACGTATTATGCCCTTTTGCACATAATGACAGGACAGCACATTGGTTAATAAAGGCCTATATCACTATAGCTACTGAGTCCCCAGCGTTTCACAGTTTAATGAAGGTGATGTACAATAAGGTTACTAAGATTGATAGAGACAATTCACATGACATAAACTCCACTAAGACTGCCATTCGTTTCTGCCCCCCCCCCCTTTCCCCTGTCTTGGCTAATTTTTTTTAAGAATTAAGATTCTTTTTTTTTTTTTTCATTAATATAATTAATGTGGCCAAGTCCACTCCTTCTTCTCTCTCTCTTTAAAATATACCATCGATGGCACGAAAACCTCCAAAAGGTTAATGGAGAATTATACTTAATTATAATGATTCATTATCATCAGTGCAGTTAAGCTAATTTATTGTCTGCTCCTTAACTAAGAGAAAAGTCTGTTGGGGTGAAATAACATACAATAATTAGCCTTTTGTGTTTAGTGACTGCTTTATCCTCTTAAATCTTATTATAAAATTAAGGCTACAGTTGTGAAATAGCTGTCATAGTTGCAAAGAAGCAGCAGAATGTGTGTGTGTAATTGCATTAAAGCACACCTGTTACAGATGTATAGGAAGCAGTAAATATCCACATGTCAGATGAGGACAGTTACAGGGCTCGGACTGTTAAGCCTGGCATCGTCCAAAGGCCAAATATAAATTAATAACAGGAACACTTGCTACTACTAATGTGTTTTAGATTAGCAGGATACTACCGCATTCAGAAGCACTGATTTTATTAGCATGTCAACATTGGCAAGAACACGTGCAATTTTTTAGACCAGAACATAAAAGCAAAAATGAGAGAGAGAGAGAGAGAGAGAAAGGAAAAGAAAAGAATATGTAAATTATAGGATAGTAAAATCCAACAAATTGATCATCTGGTCTGTTCAATGGTTTTCAAAAGTTATTTAAAAATATATGTTTCTGGAAGGTTAAGAGATTTTGAAAAAAAAGTCATATCAAAGGAGGGCAGTTAAAGAGAGAGACAGCAAAAAGCTGTCCACAAGCCAGGATGACAGTTCAGCATTCCAAAACACGGCTCCTAAATTCCATAACAGGAACTAAAGCCAGATGTGGAGAGACTATGTCTTCTAGATTATTTTTCTTTTTGTTGCTAGTTTTGCTGTTTATGTTTTTTTCTTAAGGACTATCCCCCAATAAAATCCTAGTGTATTTCACACAATTGAAAAAGTTCTCTTCTTGTCTCTGAATTGGTGGTGTTGAGGAAGGGTTAATACTGTGTTTCTACTTGGAGGATATGCCATGAGGGCAAGAATGGAGGCTGGGAAGTGTTACACCCACAGCAAAAAGCGAACATTGTACCAGAACAAGGTCTCCTCTTCGGCCCAGCCTGAACTGTAACTTTGGGCTAACTCAGATAATAAAAAGGAAAGACCAATAAAATGATAAGGAAAGAGTTTTGATGGAGAAGACATCCCTTTCTTTGCATTCCCTTGAGCCTGCTGCTTGGGAGCTAACAAGGGTCCGGGGGTCTTAGCAATGATTTGCAAGCTCCTCCCAGCGCCCCTTACAAACTGCTGACTCCATTACCCAGTACCTACTTCTCAGTGTGTTGCTTATGATCACGCTGCTGCATATGACCCATGCAATGTAGCCTGCCAGGGATCCCTGCCAAGGCTAACTGGGGTGCTCGAGAAAAAAAAATCTGCATAAAACTTATTTCATTCAAAATCTAAATGTCAAGGAGTATCTTTAGCTTCATGCCTAATTGCTGCCTGGATGTGAACAGCTCCACACCATCTCTCCTGACCTTGGAAGGTAGGGCTCTGAGGGTCCTGCTCCAGAGTGTGTGCCTCCTAATTTACGCACCTTGGCTCACAGGTGGATAAAGTCCTTACTGCTTTGCTATCGCCAGACTCCTGCAGTCTGGGGTTTCTGCAGGGTTCTTCGCAGTATGTAGCTTGGAATTGGAAATTAGGTAGTCAGTTCAAGTTGAGGAGACCACCTCATTGGTATAGGGGGTTCACTTGCCTTGGAAAGCCACAGGCTGGGACCATGAAAAGGCTTCATGGAATAGCATGCAAGAAGTGAAAGACTATGGCAACCTAAAATAGCCTTGGTGATAAGCAGCACAGGCTCCATAGAAGATATTTTAAACCCTTCAATATACTGAAGTCATTTTAAAACTCTAAACAAAAATAGTTACTTTGAATTAACTTTTTGAAGCATTGTTTAGGTATACATAAATAAGGGACAAAAATATAGTTTTGGTGTGCTATTGTGATTTTTCTTTTCCAGGTACCAGGTGATCCCAGCCATGAACACACACACACACACACACACACACACACACACACACACACACACACACATCAATGCATGACTTGCAAGTTACACATAGTAAAAGGTATAAAAGCCAGATAGAAAAAAATATAGTGATATTTTTGTCCTTCATCTGAAGGAACTTGCTTTTGCCCTGTTAAGGATGAAGGCCAGAAACTCATGAAGAATCAAGTAAGAATAAATGATTTAAATAACAATTCAAGAGAACCACGGATGAGTCAAAGGGCTTTGCCTCATTAGCTGCTAGCTACGTGAATTATATGGATTGTAATGCTTAAAAGATGTATAAAAATGGAGATAAAGTTTTCCTAGTGTAGTTCCTTTGTTCAATTTTTCATTTAGCAGTTGTTTATTGAGTTTCTATTATGTGTGATGAAAATTCCAGTGTAAAACCAAGTTTGTGTCCTTCCCTCAAAGGGATTATACTCTAAGGGCAGACTAAAATTTTTCATACAGTTAACCATAAAACAATTTGAAACTTGGTAAGTGCTAACTGTCAAAGAGCTACAAAATAATATCGCTGATTTCTAACTGGACAAATCAGAGAAGGCTTCATGGAAGTGTGGCGTTTACTGTGGGTTTCAAGTTAGAGTTTTGGATGGTATAAATCAGGCAAAGTATTCTTTAGGAGCCAAGTGAGTAAAGAATTTAGGATGTTTTCTCTGGTAATTAAAGCCCCAAAGACCAGCTTTGGTGGTGTCGTTGAATTAACCAGGCTTAATTCCTATCACATGCTATTGCAGTTTAATAAATTCCTGAAGTTAATGAAAGCTATTTTTTTTTCCTGCCTCCTGCAGTGTGCTGCTCTGGTTGGTGAAGACCAGCCTCTTTGCCCAGATCTTCCTGAACTTGATCTTTCTGAACTAGATGTGAATGACTTGGATACAGACAGCTTTCTGGGTGGACTCAAGTGGTGCAGTGACCAATCAGAAATAATATCCAATCAGTACAACAATGAGCCTTCAAACATATTTGAGGTAAGGACATCCTTTGGAGAAATTAATTTCTCATTGACCTTGGCTTGGGCCAGACTAACATGGCAATAGGCCTGCAAGCATAATGGGTTCTTACTTTGTTGTCATCAAAAGATTTTTCATCGCAGTTAGACACTTCCTACTTTATGAAAAACAATGTTTGGAAAACAAATGGATTTTTTTTTTTTTTTAGATTTAAGGGGCTAAGAACTGACAACAGAGTGCATTCAACTGTGTTGAAATACTAAGGGGTTGTGAAAGAATTAGTGACAAAGAAGAACAAAAGTCTAAACCTGTTTATTCCTATTTCCCACAGAAAGACTGAGTAGCAAATAAGTGGTGCTTAATATAAATTAATAAAGTAAGAAGTCACTTCTTTTTAACCAAAGGGCTAGATGTCTACCTTTATTTGTTTTACAAAGTAGATGAGCTGTTTTAATTGTTATTATTATTTTTTTTTTTTGGTTCATGCCCCTAATTTCTCTATGTAATGGAAACTTCTAAACTCAACTAATCTAATATATACTTATAAATTAGTCAAAATTCACTTACCTTTCATTAGTAAGAAATACCTCCCAGACTCTAGACTCTCATTATAAGCCTACCCTATAATAAAGAATGTTAATCTACTACTATTAAAGTGTTACTCTGAGAAAAGAGATTCTTTCTCACAAGATCAGTACTCATTTACTTGAAAATAAATGATTTCTTATTCTAGGGACAAACATTTAGTGAGTACTTTGGCAAGTGAATTGCCAAATCAACTATTTTTCAATATCACAACCACCAGCACTATCATCATCATCATCATCATCGTTTTTCCTTTTCTGAGCACCTACTATGTGCCGGGCTCCATACAAAATTTTTGTTATCCACCAGTGAAGACATCATTTATGCTTCAGTATTATTTGGTTGAAATCCTGAGTCTTTAAGAAAGCCAATTTGACAATATTAATTGAGTTTTCCAGCACCCAACACATAGAAAGTGCTGGATAAATGATTGATGATTCATAAGTGAATGCTGAATATAATAACTGACAACAATAGTAACAAAAATAATGACCAACATTTTCGAATAGTCATGCTGCATATATGTCATCTCATTTATCCTTCGAAACAACCTATTGTTCACCAGTATTATTATTATCATTCCTGTTTTATATGTGCAGACAATGCGTCTCAGAGAGGTTAAGTGATTTTCCAAAATCACCCGCAGTTGACAAATAAAGACCTGGGATTTGAACCCCAAATTTATCTGACTTCAAAATCTATATCATTGATAAAAATAGGGAAACCATAAATTTGGGTGACAGCCATCCTTTACAAAGACATATCAAGCTGCTTCTTTGCTCAATATATTTAAAAATAGAACAGAATCTTTCCTTTCCTTTCAGTGTTGGTTGACATAGAGGCAGAGGTGGCTGTAGTTTCTGCCAACGGCTAAGATTTTGTAATACTGCTGGAGCATGAAGTGGGTCTTAGAAGAATGCTTAAGGTAGTGGGGTTGGGGCTGGGGAGATAGAACCAGGTGGAGGAAATGCTGAATGCTTGTGGTTAGTTATACTTTCCCAGGCTTCTCAGCCGGGTCTTGGAAAGTTCATGTGAGGACTTGGCTGGTTAGAACTGGTAAATTGAACATTCCTCATCAGTACACTTGTCAGGTTACAGGCCCATTCTAAGTCATGCTGCATTAAATAAACAGTACTTTAAAAAATGTCCATCTCCATAGACCTCTTATCTAAGAATCAGCTGTTCCATATCAGGTGAAAGGCATGCATTCACTGGTGCTGCAGTCCCCACCCCTGGGGCCGGGGGGATCGGTACGGGTCCATGGCGTGTTAGGAACCAGGCTGCACCGCGGCCCGATCTTGGCACCTACTCCCACCCCCACCCCGCACCCCCCACCCCTCACCTTCCCCCATGAAAAAATTGTCTTCCATGAAACTCAGGAGCTGGGCTGCATGGCAGGAGGCGAGCAAGGGAAAGCTTCATCCCTCGGAAGCCTCATCCGTATTTATAGCTACTCCCCATCGCTCACAGTACTGCCTGAGTTCTGCCTCCCCTCCCGCCCCCTTGCCCTGGTCGGTGGAGAAGTTGTCTTCCAAAAGTTCCATGAAACCTGTCCCTGTTGCCAAAAAGGTTGGGGATTGCTGTTGTAGAGGATGATTAGAGAATAATTTACAGGTTGGCGGGGAGGTGGCCTGGTTGTCAATGCCTCCCTGGCGGACTTGTTTTGAAAAAGATAACTTTCTGTTCCCGTATTTTGTGCTGTGGTACCTGGGTAAGGATTTCAGGAGACTTGGTTAAACAACCAGTTATCTCCATGCAGATGCTTAATTTATGCAATGATACCCTTTTTGTTTTCCTAGTGTTCTACTGCTGATAGAATTGTTTTCAACACTCTAAAACACAAGGTTCATTTAATTTCATATCTCATTAGGTCATTTTAAAGCAATGATTCTTAAGTGAAGGCAATTTTGCCTTCCCCTTCCCCAGGAGACATTTGACAATGTCTGGAGGTGTGTCTGATTGTTAGGACCGGCGGCAAGGTGATGCTGTGGGCATTTGCTGGGTAGAGACTAGAGATGCTGACAAAATCCTACAATGCACAGGACAGCTCTCAGAACAAATGGTGATCTGGTCTCAAATGACAATAGCTCTGAGGTTGAAAAACGCTGTTGTTGGTTTTTTAAGTCACAAAACTCCCCTGTATGAAATGCTAAAGATGAATCAGTTGATTTCTCAGAGAAAACAGTACAATATGGGATATAAAAAATGAGAAGCCGTGTAAAATTATTGAGATGCCCGGGGCCTCACGACTAATAAGTCAGGTATTCTTTTTAGTGACAGAGAGCAAAAGCGACTGTTTAGATAAGTCCCCACAACAGTTTTCCCTGATGTCACAAAACCCATTCTTCTTTGTCTAGGCAAAGGGTCAGATGTGGCAATGCTGTTACAAACAGCAGCAGCCTCGCAGGCATTTGCATAGCGTGATGACGCCTCTACTCTTTGCCCTCTAGTGTTAAACTCAGACATCTTTTCTATAATGGGAAATGAAAGCTGTTTTGAGCATAGTGAAATTCTAAAATTGGGTCTTCCCCTGTGAAGAAGGCCCAAAATAATCCTTGCACGACCACGGCTTTGTATTGCTTCTACCAAAGCAGCGTTTCACCGAAGTCTTTTCCCAGAGCCAACCTCTCACGGTGGACTTTTCACCTGTGCTCACCTTCCAATTTGCAAAGGCCTGCCTCATCGCATTTGAGAAGGCCTTGTGCTTGAGCTAGCCAGGCAGTCACGGGCTCTGCCATCTCTGCTCTGCCGGTAACAAGCATGATGTACCTCAAACTCCCAGAATAAAATCAGGCACTGAGTAGTTAAACACTTTTCCCTGACTCAAGTAACAGGTCGATGACCCCGCTGGAAACCGGCCATGGGTTTTCTGGATTTTAATCCAAGCAGAAAGTGGGACTTAAGGCTACGTAATAGCATGGCAGAATGTTTAAACATTGGAAGTAAATAGAAATCTCTTCTTTTGTTTCTTCTGTACATTTGAATCTAAGTTTAATTTTTATTGACCTGCACAAACACGATAATAAAAAAGAATGAGTTGAATGTCACAACTTGAGAAAGAGGGGATTCTGAGTGGGGGCAACGGTGTGCCAGCGTGCAATCATATATGTTGGTCGAGTAACTGGACACACAAATAAGGATCTCTCCTCACACAACCTGTGTTTAGACGTGTAAATGCAGGTGACCGGGTATGATTTAGAAGCCACTTTAAATAACAGGGCACAAGGCCTATAGGCACAGCCTCCAGTGAATCTGATCCATGTGTAAGGAAAACAGGATACTGTCCCTGGACCGGCTGGTAGCAAGATTTATGTTTCAGAATATTGCAACACAACTTCCTTCCCTCTGTTGCCTTTGTGCATTGTTTGAAGGAAGAGAATAAAGGACTACTTTTACAGCACAGCAGTGTATAAAGATGGGTGGCATGGGGTTAGTTGAAACAGCACATTGGCCTTTTTAGGTCACCATGGGCCACCTTGTCCCTGATTTATTTTAACACCTGCTTTAATGCCTCTATGGTACAACTGAATGGGCATCTTTCATTCATTCGTCTGTTACTTCTGAATGCAGCTACTTGGGGTTCTTTCGAACGGTGGCAAGGGAGAATGCAGTTGTCTCGGTCATTACTCATAATACATTCTGAGGCCTGCCTTTGCTAATGGGGAGAGACGGACTCACAGCTGTAGCCAGCATTCATGTTTGGTAATTACTGGAACTCTCAGGCAGGTCTGGGACTGTGCACTTTTGTAGGAGAAAAAGGGTGAGTGGTGGCTTTGTGCTATCTGTGTTTAAGATTATCTTGCTATATGGCACCAAGGAAATGAATAGCGGAAGCTTTCAGTACCACTTGATCATTCTGGTAGGAATACAGAAGATTTCACATTTCTTTATTTGGCTTTCAGTTATATTCTGAATTTTTCAAAAATGGGCATATATTAGTACCTATCAAAAAGTTAAAATAACAAATCTTGGCAGTTCAACAGACCATGAGCATTTTGGGAGCAGGGAATCTGCCTGTCTTATTCACTGACGTTTTTCTAGACAATTTCTTAGAAAACAGCAGAAAAGCAAAACTCAAATATTTGTAGCATAATGAATGAGTTGACCATCATGGGATTATTAATGCTGTGAACTGTGTAAGGTAATGCAAAGATTATATACAAAGCACAAAAGAAGGTCTGTTTCCTAATGAACTTTAAACTAGTTTGGGAGGCAAAATGAAGAAATGTGAAACAATTAGCCAACCATGCAAGATTTATATGTGTGTGTATGTGTGTGTGTGTGTGTGTGTACACACACACTCTCACACAAATATATGCATTATGTTTTTATGTTTAGTAGTTAAAAAACAATATAAGACTGTATATTCATATTTATGTATATATGTATATACATAAGATTATATGTATATTCACAATTGGAAAACTTTATGA